TAGTGACTGAACACATGACACACATTTTAGAGGTAGCTTAGCATTACGGAGAGTCAGTGTAAATTTAGGTTTCAAGTCACTGAACACATAGCCAGAGCTGGGCAGCGCTACTTTGAAATGTAGCGCCGCTACCGCTACCGCTACAAACTCTAAATGTAGCGGGCGCTACCGCTACCGCTATACCCACTAGATTGTAGTGAGCGCTACCGCTACCGCTACAGTAAAATGTAGCGCCGCTACATTAGCCGCTACAACGGCTAAAATTATTGGAAATCTCTAAATATTTATTGTTCTGCTATTGGAATTTACTCATAAACATTTAATGATGATGAAACATTTTCAAAACATATCAATGCAACTTTATTGCAATTAACCCGAACTAGTACGGGTTAGATACAGTAAATTAAAGCTACAGTTATATATATATGTTTTGCCTTCCCTACATGGATGACTACTTTAATCTACCAATCTCAAAAATTATCCACATATACGGTCATCAATATTCAGCGTTATATTTTTTCAAAATCAATTGTTGATAATTGTCCTCGATATTTGTCATTTGTTTACACCTTCTCATTAATCTTTATCATTATTTATCATTTATCATTTTTATGGTGTCAAAAAACACCAACTGTCTGCTCAAGTTGTTGACAAACGCCTCCAAAGATCCAAGATTCTACTTTCCCGCATTCATGATGGCACGCTGCCAAACCTCGTTTTCAGTGATGAGAAGATATTCAATGTTGAACACCACTTTAACTAAGTGTTGAACACTTTTTAAATGATCGAATTTGGTCGAAGAATGGGACGAAGGATCCCGTGTGGTGACTAGGACCTTTTTGTTGACCCCTCTTTTTTGTTGACAAAGAGGTGAAATTGAATCAGAAGAACTATCAAGATGCCATCCTTGTTGGTGCATTGCTGCCCTGGGCACGAAAGCACTTCAAAAAACATCCCTGGTCGTTCCAGCAGGACTCTGCACCATCCCATGGGGCCAAATCGATTCAGGAGTGGCTGTCCGAGAATGTTCCCCACTTCATTACCGAAGATGAATGGCCCCCATCGTCACCCGATCTGAATCCTCTGGATTTTGGGATCTGGTCATACCTTGAGAGCAAGGTCTCGACCGTCCACCGTCACAGTTTGGACGCCCTAAAGATCAAACTGCTGAAGGAGTGGGCCAAAATTCCGCAGAATGTCATTCGTGACTCGTGTAAGGCTTTCTCTAAGCGTCTACAACTCGTTATTGATGCAGATGGTGGACATATTAAATGAAAGTGTGGGAATTGTATCTCTGAACCTCTGCCTAAATACATATATACATTTTCAAACATTCACAATTGTGTTTCATTTCATATTTCTAACCACTCAAAGTTGTAACGCTAAATATTGATGACCCTTTTTACATATAAAGAATCAGTCTTTTATTTGTATATATATGTGGATTATTTTTGAGATTGGTAGACTAAAGTAGACGTCCATGTAGGGAAGGTGAAACATGAAAATAACTGTGTAAAAATAACTGTAAGCAAACTGAAACAGGAATAAAATACTTAAAAATACTTTTTTAAAAAACACGCTTTTCTTGTAGACTAAAAAGTAGAAAATAAATTTTGGCTCGCCCCAAAAAACGTGGGTCGGGCTGTACGTTCAAAATCAAATTTCCAAAATTCGTGTGTTGTGTTCGAACTATGGATCCGCGTAATACAGCACTGAGTTACAGTGTACAGTCTCGGACTCTGCCAGACTGCCAGGGACGCAGTCCCCTGTCCCGCGAGTGTGACTTTTGTGAAACGCACTGGCAGTTCTGCACAAGCTCTCAGGCCCAATGGGCAGCTTAGCGGTTGTCCTGTGCCAGACCTGTGGCTTTAAGTCTAGGTACTGTCCACCCAGCGTCAGCGATGACATCCAGAAGAACTGGCAGTTACTATTGAATATTATATTGGTGTGGTTTCGTATAATAACTAGGTAGACGATGCACACCACCCAGTCCCAGCATGACACATGATCACACATCCATTAATTAGTTCAACTAAACAACTATACCATTACCATAGGGCATAGGCACTGCACCCAACATGGCCAACAGCTGCCTAGTTTATAATTTTATAACTGCTTGTATTATATTCATACCTCATTGATACCTATCAAGAAATCAACCTAGGTATGAATATGATCAGTACAATGATATAATGTTGATATTAATTAAAAAACTTATAACCTGACTTTTTTATGAGGACATACCTATATTTTTCACACTTTTCCACACCTGCTGAAGTCATGTCACTCAGCAGGCATCCGAGGCATGGAATATATCTACTACTTGGCGTTGGCAAGCCATGACTGGATTATTGAGCCATGGCTTCATGGGTTTGCCTGCATTTCTTTGAGCCATGAATTCCTTATCTGGGCTGTCCGCTGTTTCTGTTCACTCTGTTGACACTTGCCTGGACCTGGTCAGGCTGGTCTCCCATGCGCTCACAGATTATCCTATCAGATGGCCGATGGGTGTCAATGAAACAGATCTGCTTAAAATCTTATATTGAGTCCATCTTCACATGGCACCCATCTGTGAGCATCTGGGATAGACACTTGCAGGACAATAAAATCCATGCAGTTTGTACTGTAGCTATCTTGCCTATAACCCTGGCCGGTGGCCGCCATAGCCGCATAGTGGCAAACCAGAGATTTTTTAGAACCAGTTCATTTTTAATTTCCTCATCTACTCAATATTTAATCAATTTCTTATATATGAAAATGCTGGTAGTATCCAAGTTACTTTCCTGGTCTACTTATAGGACCCAGAAATGAACTTGATGAAGAGTCTAAAAAAATTGCTGCTTTGCCACTATGCTGGCCCCTGGGCGATGGGCCTGAGCAGAACTATCCTTGACAAAATATTTTCATGTTGCCACTATGCTGCCTAGATAGAAATCTGAATTCAGAATAATCCTATAGCATCATGAATTGCTCAGTCATTGTGGACTGGCAAGTTACATTCAGAGGAATTACCCTTTAAGAGTTGAGACTAATATAAGTTCTGCCTTTCTTACGCACTCAAAAGCAGACAGTAATTCATACTGCCACTGTGCAGAGAGTGAATGAATATTGCAAGATCTTTGGCAACGCTTCAGTAGCAAAATTTATGCCTTCAGAAGATCTTGTCGACACATTTAGATTGAAATTCTTTCATTTAATATATTTGTCAGTCTTTGGCCAACTATTTAAAAAAAGTAAGGTTTCCGGCATAGTGACAAACCAGAGATTTTCCAGAATCAGTTCATTTTTAATTTCCTCATTTACCCAAGATTTAAACCAATTTCTTATGTATGACGATGCTGCTATCCAGGATACTTTAATGGTCTACTTCTAGGACTCAAAAATGAACTTGAGGGAGAGTCAAAAAAATTCTCTGCTTTGCCACTATGGTTTCTGGTATGTTGGATTGATCAGTATGCAGTGAAGCTTGTCTGGAAATCCGTTGTGATGAGTTCCCACCAAAAAAATGTAAACATCAAGTTTACGATTACGTATTTGTGGTCACATTACTGACATTAGAGTGGTCAGACTGCATTATCACATGTTCAGTTGACACTTGCTGTACAATTGGACTGTTTTTAGGGTAAAATTAGTTATTTGGGGTAACACATGCATGCAACCAGCAACCTTGTAAATAAGTTTGTGGCTTGTAAATAGTTTTTATTACTCTGCGTAAATGGCTTTTCATTAAAAATTGCCCGGCGGCTGGCAACGCATCTTAAAATTACCCGGCGACTCTTAGGGCTTAAAAACCCATATATTGGCAATGCTGCATCCACCCTCTGCACCATGGATTCATAGTAGCAAAGCAGAGAGTTTTTAGACTCTCTTTCAAGTTCATTTTTGAATCGTATAAGAATAAGTAGACCAGTAAAGTATCATGGATATCATTGGTAAGAAATTTGGTAAATTTTGAGCAGGTATGTGAAGAAATTCTAAATGAACTCAGAACCTGTCTCTTATACACATCTAGATGTGTATAAGAGACAGAGTAACAACTAACATGTTGACACTAGTAACAGGCTGAGGTTGACAACATTACACCGAAATCATTCGTGTAGTTTTATTCTGTAATTTATATTATGTATGTATCATGCTGGTTTTTAAATAATATTTAATACTATTAAGTAAAATCTAAAGGCTTTATCTATAAATGTAGCGGTAGCGCTGTAGCGGCAAAACCTCGTATCGCTACTTAAATATGTAGCGGGCGCTACCGCTACCGCTACATTGCCTTAAATGTAGAGCCTGTCTCTTATACACATCTAGATGTGTATAAGAGACAGCTGTTTGTCTGTCCGTGACCTCAAGTTTTTGTCGACAAGAAAATGCGCTCTCTGTCACTCACTGCAGTGACTACTGATTTATATTTTTTTTGCTTCTGTCACCTTACAGATAGCATTTGGAACTTTTATGGAGATGCTGTACAATAGCTGTTGCAGAGACATTTAAAATGAGCTCAAAATTGTTTCTGAAATGATTCATGGTAAAAATTATAAATGAAAAAAAAAAAAATGTCCCTTACTATCCAGTTTGACAGTACCTATACCCTATATATATTTTCTTTTGATTCACTGTAAAATGACATTCAAATAAGTTTGTATGATTCCACAGTTCAGCTACTAGTATCTCAGATGTGTACAATTCCACAGTTCTGCTATCTCAGAACAGCAAAAATGACTGCTGCAAAAAATGTTGTCATTGATAAACTTCTAATCATAGTTATTTCAGAAATCATGCAATGTGCTATGAAACTACAATCAGTACAATGTAACTGAGCCTGCAATAAAAATGTTATCCAAGTGCTTAATTATCTCTAAATGGAGAATGATCTTGTTTCTATTTAAGAGCAAATGATTGTAGTTTGATTGCTACTAATTATGTTTTGTGGAATATTGATGCTTTTTTTATAAAAACGATTTGCCTCTATCAAAATTTATGAATTGATTGAAATTTTTTTACATATTTACTTTCAGCCTATACTTTTGTTCCTACATATTGATTATTCAGGACATGGCAAGCCTTGTGAAGAATGGCCTCCAGCAGCTTAAATCTAAAGAGTTTCGTAGCTACTTGATGAGGTGAGCATCTGAACTATAACACTAAACCATCATAAATTTAATAAGGCATTGTCTAAAGATAAAAATTGTAATGCTATTAAACATTATTATTCCTTATTTTCTCAGTGTTTTTTGTGCTGTTCTTTCATTTATATTAAATTGGTGATTATCTGTGCAGCACCCATTTCTGGGGACCTGTTGCCAACTGGGGCATTCCCATTGCTGCCATTGCTGACATCAGCAACAAGCCACCTGAGATCATCAGTGGCAAGATGACACTAGGTCTGCACTGTAGGGCTCAATTGTATTGTATTACATAGCTGTTATAAGTACCATAGTGAAATTAAAGACAAAATTGTCAGACTTGTGCATCATCATTTGAGTTAATTTACCCTCTAATAAATCTGTGTAGGAAATTCAAAACTTGGTTTCAACTTATTAGAAATCTTTGGTACTCTCTGAAATGTAGTTTTATCATATTAAAGACCAGAGAGTACCTATTTCTTATTGACAACTTTATTATTACTTTTCTCACTTAGGCAACTAAGGCTTTTGGTCGGATTTGAAAGTTCAAATATGAGTTTTCTAAGGGAAATGTTATTAAAATTTTATTAGGTGTTGAATGTGCAACAATCATCATCAAGTGTGTATGATACATGAAGAGTTTTTTAACACTTGAAATAGAAATTATGGAATGACACCTTAATTATAAACGTCTGCTCAAGTATACCAATATTTGCACTCTCTAGATAGCTTGTACCTTGGTCTGCCTGGGAGAATAAATCTAGTGTCAACCCAATGTATCACACAGTTATTCTTCCATTTAAAAACTAATAGTCATTCAGACCCAACACATGCTAATATGCAACCTAAATCTTTAGGCGTATTGTTCCCAGTCTACCATCAAATTACTTGGATTGGATATTTTTCCTTTGTGGTTGTGATTTACATGCACCTACACTGCGTGCAAGGTAATTTTATTTACAGATTCAAGGTAATTGTTGAAGGTAATTGATTGAATTGTTCAATTATAGTTGACTCTTTCTTTCCCATTTTCAGCCCTGTGTTTCTACTCAGCAATCTTCATGCGGTTTGCCATCAAGGTGCAGCCTCGCAACCTGCTCCTCTTTGCCTGTCACTTCACTAATGAAGCTGCACAGATCACTCAGGTAGTATACACTGTCTCAGTCCTTTTAAATTCTGAATAAGGGGTTAGGTTCATTAGTTTGGCATCGTATAATGCACTGTGCATTAAATTGCATCTTCCTATTTTTTTACAGGAGAAACAAGGTTGTCATTGGCCTTGCAATTGGGTAATGTTTTTAACTGATTATTTTCTGTAACCTAATCATATCTAACAGCAATGATAACCAAGTTGGCAATTATGAGTCACCATAGAAATTTATTGCTTGAATTTTGGATTCCAGATCTAACGATTTTGTATTGGGCGTTCGGATTTCTAAGGGGATGTTTTAATCTGCAATCAAGCTCCTTTCTCAATAATCTGAGTGATGACATGAAAATTGAAAGCTCATCTTCTGTTGTCTTGGGTGTGGAAAACATATGGTATTATATTTATCAAGTTTGACTCCGCAGAGAGCGGTTTCGAAGATCTTGGCTGCATTATACAGTGTCTGAGTTGACCTGAGTTAAAGACCTGCATGATCAGTCAATCATTTGGTTCTCTGAAAGGCTAGAATGCTGCAGAAATCGTTGGCTTGTTTCAGATGTGAATGTTTCTGTTATGTTCAGTTCTAATTTATTATTCTATAAATGTTTTATGATTTATTAAATAGTGACCAATATTATTGTGTCTATGCCACTTGGATTGCTCAATTCTTGTTCTTTCTTCCAGGGCTGTCGCCTCATTAACTACGAGTACTTAGGAGGCAAAGATGCTGCAGCTGCAGCACCCGCAAGCTAGTCTCATCAAGTGCTCCTGACATTCACTTATTAAGTCCTGCAATAACACATGTTTGAAATCTCCACACCTTCGACAGCCCGGTGCTTCGTCCTGAATGCTCTACAACGAATCTCTGTTGCTGAGGCCCAACTTTCTAAAGAAACTACGGTATCACTTGTTAGAAACTTCATTGCCAAGAAAAATGCCTCAAAATTTCTCCGATTTAATTCAAAATAAACTCAAGTAGCATATCTGCACGTCTTGTTGAGCGTTGACTTGTGTGCAGGGTTTAAGGCATGAAATGAAAATGAATTGTAGTCATATTATCTTTGGCCAAGTTTTCCATATAAATACTACCGACGCAGCACCTGTTGGAGCGCAAGTTTGACTTCGTTAACAGTTGGTCGGTGAGTAATTACAATGAGTGCGTCATGTAAAATGTTTTATGTTATATGCAGCAGGCTTCCATCACCAGCATTTACATTTAGGTACCATTCATTTATTTTCTCTTGAAGGTATACCTATTGCCTGCTATAGACAGCGTTGAAGTCAAGCTTAATTTTGAACTTCTTCTCGTAATTTTGATACTACCAATAAACTGTTAGTGTAATGCTTCCCAATTAAATGTGTCCAGTTATTAATTTCGTTCCCATGCTTTGACAAAATCTTAATTTTTCATTAGATAAGTGCATGAATTTGACAGTCTTTTTTTGGAAGATAGTGACACGCTGCACGAGCTGCGTTGTTATTTCTACGTACACTTGTTATTTCCACGTACAGTTGTTATTGCCAGTGTACACAACTGTTCGACTGTAGCTCTACTTGTATTCTGTTGAACACAGTGTGACTGATGTTATTTCTTAAAATGGAATGTTGACTTTAACGATAATGTTGGCTACATTCACTGGCTCGAGACGTGGTAGAAGTGACTCCTGATCCATGGAGTTGCGTCCATAAACATAGAGATAATGGCTAAACTTTGCATACATTAATCTGATCATTGTTCGTTTAATGTGATTATTGAAGATATATTTAGATTCCCTTCGTTTCTGTTATTGTTTATACTGCGTCGCGACTGAAGAATCTTCTAGTGCAGCTTGTTATAACGTCATGATAACACGTATATTCATTAGAAATATCCTGCCTTACTTAAGCTCTGATATTTTCATGCCTGTATTCTATTTTCTAAATTTTTTTTTATATAATAGATGAAGAAAGTTGCCATCACTTGGGTAGCTTTAAGTCACAGCAAATTTGAATCTCTTGTACTTATTATCATAGTAAGCCTTTGTGCTTACGATCGACGTCGATAGATCGGGAAGTAAACACAGCAGATCTGTCTTGACATTGTTGGATCTTTGTGGCTGAGAGATGGAACTAACTCTAAATTAACTAAACTAACTAACTCTAAACCTAAACCAACTCATTAGCTGCTAATTAATGGCATCATTTTAGTGCGTTCAATATTCATGCATCATTAATTTGGAATTTAGAACCACTAATTGAGAGAGTGTTGGTTCTCGGGACACAGTGCAAGATGTACTCAATACTCGTCGTGGCAACTCATTAGGCTGGAGTTACGTCTCTCTCTCTCTGCCCGCTGAGCGAACTCTACTAAACTGATGAAAATTTTTCACGCATAAGATTTTATTCATGTCTTAGCTTAGTTTTTGGAAGAGAAAGCTAAACTTTGTTAAAATTTGCCTAGTGAAATTAATGCGAGTAACAAGTACTATATTCTGTTGGTATTAGATTTTAATAGAGAATCGGGGGAAAATCACGTTTGCTTAATGGGTGTGAGCTGCCGTTGCAATACTTCAACTACACAAGCTACATTTCGGCGGCGTTGAGGCTCTCACGTATTATCCGCGCAATCATTCTCATGCTGAGTCGTAAATTTCATGCTTCGTTGTACGTTTGCATGGCATGAAGCACACAGCTTAGGTGGCGTTTTGGGTTTAAAACATTTTGGTGCTAGGAATTTATTTTAAGTGTGAACAGTTATAGATAGTATTTTTCAAATTTTCCTGTTAATCTCTCATTATTAACGTTGTTTGATTGCAAGTTTTTGCAGTGGTTTTTGCAAGATTTTGTTCGCGAGTTTCGTGATGATCGTATAAATTTTTTCGCGAGGTTTGCAGATATTTCCCACCAAAACATTAATGTATTTTACGGCCGTGGTTTACTAAATTTTTCTATTGCAATGCCATGTGAATTGCACGCTGAAGATGAGGTAGCGAAGCCAGAAAGTTTTGCTCCATTTTAACTGTATCATTGAAGAATAATTTTGATGTTAGTGCACTGTTCACAACATCCTGTTGATTTCTATCAATTGCGTGCATGCGAGGTATTATTTATGTGATTTACGATAAATTAATAAAGCCAAGTTAACTCAGCCGTGAGCGATTTCTTCCTAATATTGCGAGCTTGTTCTTGTTGGTACAAGTCATCTGTTCAGACACGTTCATGCAACAGATCTTGTGTTGTCATCTTGCCAAGTCCGCCTGACAACGCCTACCTAACTCTCGTGCCGTGTAACAGATCTTGTGTTCTCATCTTGCCAAGTCCGCCTGATAACGCCTACCTACCTAACTCTCGTGCCGTGTAACAGATACTATGTTGTCGCCCTTCCTAGAACACCTGATAATGCCTACCTAACTCTTGTGACACACATGGCCATGTATTATTAAGGAAGATCCTGCGTGTTATCGTGTCATCTCGCGGCGTTTCTACAAGATCGGCCGCATTTCAATTAAAAGAATTGTTGTGTTTCGTTTTTGAATGTACTATTGTTTTGTTGTCTTTTGTTTTACTGTTTGGTTGTCATTCATTTTATTATATTTTTTTCAATTTGTTTGACTACTATTTCGTTTGTTGACTTCTGTCCGCATATTTTGGCCCAGGTTTGCAGGGCCCAACTGCACGGTTTGTTTGAAGTTTTGTTAATATGGAAGTCCAGTATATTACAGCTTTTGTTTGTAAATAAAAATGAGCATTTTGATGGTGACTTCTTGTAGCCCTTGTTTCAGTAATGAGGTTTTTGATTCAGTAATAGCTGTTGAATGAAAAATAGGCAAGCCAATGCCGCCTTCTAAGTATTAGAATTTTGTAGGCACTGTATACAGTGAGTATAAGTATACTTCAGTCCTAACAAGCGTACATGGTAGAATCTTGCTCCCAGAGATACGGAGTACAGTACTTTTTAATTTACAATACTGTTTGATGTTTTAGACTGAACGTTTCCTTGCCCTGAAATTCGTGCGTGACACCGCCCCTCCATAGACGGACTTCGTTGCCCGCTCCTGACGATTTAAATTTAAACGAACATTTCATGGAACAATTTTGAATTAAACAAAGAAAAAGTACACTTTGATTCGAGTTACAGGTCCTGATATGACAAATTCGAACGGCGCAACTTAACTCAATTATCCGTGATGAGTCACTTTGTTTGATGCTCCAAAATGAGAATTTACAATACTTCCAGGGATCTTATTTTCGGACTTCAGCGAACTAACGTCTCCGTAACGAGCGATTGCGCGGCAATGCAACAGAGTCTCAATTTGAGGTAGTGAAGCCTACGACTTGAAGATGAGGAAGGCGATGATGAACGTAGAACGACTTCTCCAATTTTGTCCGCTTGCGCTCTTTTTTCATGGTGTATTCAACGGGCCTTACACGGGTGCATGGAAACCCTTGCTTTTGATGAAAGGCCGTTAGATAACTTTTGGCCACCTGCAGGTTAATACAATGTGTCGTGCTCAACGATTATGCTAAATTACTGACGTCGGCTCCAAATTATGCTTTTGTCTGCATATTACAAGTTTGGGTTGAACTCAAATATAAAAAAAATTTTGAATCGATTTATAACACAGTGAGTAGGAAATAGCCAACAAATGAGTGATTGATTACGGTTGACAGCAATGATAGAAGCAAAAGTGGCCCACTCAACCATTGTTGCTGTTGTTCCGTTAGTGGCGATTATTTACAGATATCAGCAGCAAGAACAAGAAAAGTGAAAACAGCAACGAAACCGTGAGAAAATGCGCTCTTAACCGGGACCAAAATCATTTGTAAAGAGCAGAAAAGCGAGAAGTAAGGTAATACTGGAAAAAATATAACTCAGTACTCACTGCAGTGAATGACAGTGCATTTTCTCTTCGACGAAAACGTGAAGTCACGGACATACAGACGGACATTACCAGCACAATAGCACATTTTTTTCCATAAATGAGAAATGCGCTAAAAAGAGCAAAGCTTGTCACTTGAAGTTGAATCGCCAGGCTTATCGTGTCAGTGAAACAATAGTGTTACATTAAACGGTCTAATTCACGAGCATTAGAAGTGTAGTAACATTAACGATTTCAATTTCATCACATATGCATTTCCTTTATTTTATTGTAGGTCAATATTAATGAATAGCTGAATCGCGCAAGTAAGCATTTTTTCTAAATAAAAAAAAACGAGCTTTTGTGTACGTAAAACACTTGCGTTTTATGACAAACAAGGTTGAGACTCAATCTCTGGAAGCATCATGCTAGTTTTTAATTAATTATTTCAATTGAAATATAAGTAGGCATCGCCAATACTTTAATTATACATTACTGGTGGTCCTGCTTGTACTTCCATGCACAATATGTATACATACTTTTATTAGTTGGGATACACAAGAAGTGGCAGTACGTTAGGGATGATCACGACGATTGATGGAGATTTTCCTAAATAAAGGTTGTTACACGGCATGGTCGAACTAATAATAATAAAATTAGTTCAAGCATGGTTACATGGTAATAGACGGTCTCCTTAATTTAATAACGGGAACGCTGATACGTCCAATAAACAGCTGAAGGAGACCTCTTGCTAATCACGTGCGACTAAACGAGCTCGATAGGTCGCGAGTGTTTCGGAGGAGGTACGTCGACGCTGCGTCCCTTAGTCCTGATCTATGTAAAATAAGTTGAGTGGCCGGGACCACTGCCTGGATTTTTGAGTCGGAGGCCCAAGTCAGTTTTTCGTTACAGTCTTGTATCTCAGGCGATAGCGAACGGTTAAATTCAACTTCTCTGCCTATGATAATAAACGACACCAAATGCTAGTAATACCGTGGAAAAAACAACGCTGTTCTAGGAATAATTTGTTTGTATTTGAATTCCCAACTTCATATCCAAATAGCTTTCGACTCAGAACTATTGCTAAAAATGCAATATCCGGCCTAATTCTCATACAATCGTCCACAGTCATAGAATGCGCTCAAACTATCATTACTAAGCTTACCGTGCAAGTTCTATATTATTAATTGGGACTAGGCTACATCCTTATATAATTAAAATAAGCTTCTCATTGCCTTACTTGAGTAACCTTTTTAATTTCTGTTTGATGATTAAAAGTTATACTAGCTTCGAATAAAAAGTTGCATTTACGGTGGACAGGCTTAAATTGACCGATCTCTTTTTTTGTATATATTCCAAGAATCGCCCTACAATCGTAACAGATTTTCAGCCAGATCAAGGAACATGTGTAATGAATTGCAAACAAATTGTTAATGTGAGAAAGTGTTTATATTATTTTTTTTATGCTGATGATGCACTGAAAAAAATCAGAGAATTTCTTCATGTGGACAACGAGACCAAAATTGTTAATTTAAGTGAAAAATTAATGTAGTAATTTTAGGAAATAGAATATTACTTATGAAGGGTTGAATTCTGGCAGTGTCTTGCCTGGAGATCACGTTATCGCGTTGCAAAGAACTTTTTATCGCGCTTATCAGACGCGTTATCTCGCCAGTGCTGCGCATGCCGCGACCACGATCAGTCATTAGGTGACTCACGCTCATATGGGTAATGTTGAGTTGTTGTTATGATGAGAGTAATTAATGAGTATGTTGTGATTAACTTGGCACTGATTACTAACAATAAAAGGTCCATTGTTGTGCTTTACATGTCACTTATTGCTCGGTGCTGTGGTTCAGTGACGTGTTTAACTCTTATTGCTTGTTGCAGTGCTATGAAAATTAATTTAGGAAAATAAAAGCTTATTATTTATTTATAGGAAATGAAAGCTCATTATTTAGTTTAATTTAGACTGCAAACTCACCTTCTTTTTCTTAAATTTAGTACTAGGATAAATTTTCATGTAATTTATTTCTGAAATGTCAGTTGCTGGTGTCACACGGAGTACCGTTCCTGTACAGAGCTGATAACTCTTAAGTTTCCTAGAATCGTACACTGCAGCACTGAAGGAAGCTTTTTATAGGTGACAACGAGAAAGAATCCTATCAATATAGCTGTCTATTTATTGAAATAAACAAACACGAGATTATAATGCGGTCTTAGCAGTAACCTGCGTTTAGCAAGGTATTGCGTTTATAAATGAAAGAAATCAGTGCTAGGTTGGTACAGAACAGTACTCTACACTAAATATGAGTAAATGAAAGTTGAATAATAATGAAGTAGGAATTAGTGATTGCCAACTTGCAGTGAACGAGGGAGTGACGGAAGTTTGTTTCGTGCCTACATCTTTCGATTGTGCTGAATAATTTAAATAGAATATAGTAACGAGATCTTTACAGAGTAATCAAGCTGTCAAAGTTACTGTTTATATAGAGAACCGTCAAAATGAAGAAGTTGAAATAGGAGCAGTTCAAACTAAAAGAATTTTAGAAGACATGCTTATGTTGATTGTATTCAGGAACGTAAAGCGAGTCCATCCGTTTGATACTAGTGTTGTAAAATAAGAACCCTGTTAAAAAATAAAATTATTTCTCACTCAATCTAAGTTACTAAAAAAAAAGTTTCAACACCCCAGCCAACAAGAGCAGATGTGAGCACAATAACGCTCGCGTAGAGATACCAATGCACAAACCTTGTCTAGGCAAACGCTGTTTTGTTCATAATTTTGTTACGATGAATCAACATAATTGTTGGTTTCATATATCAATGATAGGCCAATCATTGACAATAAAGAGATAAATTTATGACACGCTCATGAAGAAATTATCTGCAGCAAATAACTCAATAGAAGGAAACGCGTGTGCTGTAAACGTTCCTTCAACAGTGTAGGAAGTTCTACGTAAACTGAGTATAAAGCTTTTCCTCATATCCTTATCACTTATCAGTGAACAGGACAGGAGACATCCTTTGTTCGGCAATAGGGGCCCGCTAATGAATAATGTGATATGATTTCTTAAAGTTATTTTTTGAAAGAATTTTCTATAAGACTGAACGTCGTGCGGGCAAACTAAGAAATATCCCGTACGAAAATATTTACGGCAAGTACTGAAATTTGGCCGATTTATCATCAGTAAGTAAGCCTGTGACAGATTGAGACTCTCCCGCTATTGTTGCTGAGAAAACCCGCGATTGCCCCCGTGACGATCCGCGATTGTCCCATGAAAAACCGTGATTATCCCGTGAAGCCCCGCGGTGATTGTCCCCGTGTAAACACGTGATTGTCCCCGTGAAGTCTTGTTATTGTCTCCAAGAAGCCTCGTGATTGTCGGAGCGGTCGAGGCTATTTTGCTTTGAAGGCTGCAGTGTTGCTGACGCAGGAACTTTTCGAGGACACCGCTCGATGCTTTATACTTAACTGGTGCGCTGAATAACAGTGATAAAAAAATACGATGCTTTCAATGCTGACAATGAGCAGACGTTTGGATGTCACTGGCGCTGGCTACTTGTGGTTGTGATGTTTGCTGATTTGTACAATAAATTTCCTTCTTCAACTCTCGACAATAAAAAATATAATTATGCAAACTCTTTCAAGAATCAGGGTTGCTCTGAACAAAATAAGAAAACCTCTAAAAAAATGCGCCTCCAGGTGCACAAACTGGCTACCTGAAGCTCAAAACTGTTTTCTATTAATTTTTTCACATATAATAATCGGTATATTTGCTCTCTAGCACCTAACCATTCACTTGAAAACAGTCTCTGCATTTCACATGGCTCGAATCTCACCTTTTTTCGGAATAATTCTAAATTCCATTATTTAGAGATCTTACATTTGATATTGAATTTTTTGCTTTAAATAATTTATATTCTTGTTATGTTGGCGTACGAACATTTTTTGTACCGGCATTTCAGGTAGATACGGTACGCGTATATCTTACACGTTATGACTATAATATAATAGAAATTTGGAGTTGAAAGTTTTGTCAGTTATAAATTATTGCGAACAGAGAGTTGGAATAGTTATCTATATTCATTTCTCATTAATATCGACCTGAAGATTTTCCCGTGCAAATCAAATAACACGGACAGGAATTTCGCTTTGTACTTATTTTGTATCAATACTGGACTGAATATCGTTCCATGCTTCATTTGCAGCCGAGATGTCGAACAAGTTCAGCTTCAAGGACCGCCACGCGACGGAGTTCATGCGCGTCCCCCAGACTAGCGCCGATGTACCCGTCCGCCATCCTGGGGCTTCAGCGCCTGATGACCGCCGTCTGGCAGAAGCAGCGAGCGCTTCCTCCACCGGCACTACGCCTTCAGGTACAACAAAATGGGAAATCTGCTGGTTAGACATCGACTGTCTCAGTTTACAGGAAAGACATGTACAGACGACTCTTTCTCTGCAGCAATGTCCGTAACTCATGCACACGCAACATTCTTATTTCAGGTACGATGTCGCCGGCACTAGTTAGCAGCGTGAAGGACGCCTCCATGTGCCCGGGCTGCGCGGAGGAATACGATGGCGCGCTGAAGCGGCCGCTGCTGCTGCCCGGCTGCGGCCACAGCCTCTGCAGCGCCTGTGCCAAGCTTCGTGCCAGGGACCTCCACTGCCCTGTCTGCAGGTGAACTCCCATAAAATATTAATAATACTATGATTTCAGTTGATGTAACCATTTTTTCAATATTCACAAACATACTCTTTTCACAAATGGTGCAAATAACTCAGCAACCCAAATGCCCTAATATGTTTATCTGAACACCCTATTGAAATGAAATCACATTATTGACCTGCCTTAAATCGATGAAAACATTATCAGTGTCGGTATTAGAAGACCGTACGCCCTCTAACAGACGCAGCTATGTCGGCTTGCCGGCAGACGCGCTTCCCTTCAACATCGCGCTGGAGCAGCTGCTGGCCGACAGACGGGACGAGCTGACGCTGCAGCGCATCATCGTGAGTCCGGAGCTTAAGGATGGGGTGGCGTCAAGGGCTGAGGTTAAGCTGGGTCACTGTAAAATGTTATGCTATCTAAGGCTTGGGTAGTTAATTAGTAAAAGGAAGCTAGGAATGCAAATGTATTGATTGATGTATTGTAATAAATATCCAGGTGAAGAGCGAAGTTATGAGCATGATGAACATTGCACCTGAATGGAACGCAGTGAGCAATTAATATTTGCTACGACTCATGAAGCGTCCGTTGTTCATGATGTAATCACAACGGAGTTTTTCACATGATACTAAACATCATAAGAAAAGTTGACCGAGTAGGCAACCTCAACCTACGGAAACAACCCCGAGCCTGACCCTCCTATAATTGTCCTGCAGCAGGAGGAGACAGGCGTGCGCGGAGGGGCGGCCTCGAGCTGCCACCACCACGGCCTGCGCCAGTCGTTCTGGTGCCGTACGTGCGAGGAGCCTGCGTGCGGCGAGTGTCTGTTCGATGACCATCCTGCACCTGGCCACGACCTCGCCAAGATGAACGACGTCACTGCTGAAGTATTCTATTTAACCATTAAAATCATAAGTTAAGATAAAATAAGTTACATTGAATTGGTAATTCACGCAATTTACTGGTCTCAGTGGAATTACACGAATTTCTGAGGGCTTGAATATCGTGTTTTACGACAAATTTTTTTGTGATGTTATTAAACCATTATGATGAGCTGCAACTTGTTCACTAATTTCGCAAGTACTGAATTCAATGTTTCGTTATATCATTTTCAAAATCAATGAGTTAGAAAAGACAAAGGTGTTGTTATAGTCAAGTCGAACCGGAGCGACCGCGGTTTCTTATAGCTCTATGTATATAAGATCCGACTAAGGTTACGACCGAGGTAGTAAAACAAGATCGGACAGTTGATCGGACAATGGATTGATTTATATTGAATACCGCACAAATATACATTTAAACGTTAATTTAAATAAGCATTTCCGAAGTTAAGATTACAATAAAGTAAATTAAAGAACTACGGGCACCTTGATAATTACAAATAGGAACGCTACTTGAGCCATCAACAAACAAAGCTCTAGTACAACCCTCTGCAGGTGAGAGAGGAAGCCCTCATCATGGCAAAGGCGTGTCAGGAAAACGCTACCGAAATCTTTTCAAACATTCTTATGGAATTCGTGGCGCTGCTCGGTAACTTCCACAAGGCAGGTCGTCTGCTCACTTCTTCCAGGAAGCTGCTGTCTGCAGCGGAGTCGGCAAACGACTTCTTCGCGGCCACGTCGCTCTACAAGGTGAGGGTTGACGTTCTCTTGAACCTCAAATTATGGCGAGGAATTACTGTGTCTTCACTTCAAAGTCTTTAATAAAAGTACATCGTTGCGTACGAATTTATCTGGCATTTTTTCGTAGTTAAAATTTTGAATGCTTACCTCATCGACGCTTATAGCGTGACAAATTTGTACATTTTCTCGATGCGTCTTACTTCATATATTTGAGTCATCAAATAAGAATTCACAATACCCATCAATTGATAAATTATTTTACCAATTTTCATTAATATTATTTTCAAAGTCTTTCATTCCAATGCTTGATCTTAATTAATGGAATCTTATTATCTTAATGTACAAGAGAATTTGCTCTCACAAGCGGCACACGCTCATCCGCTAGTTGACAATTGAATGAAACTTTGCATCAGGTCATCCAGCGAACAAACAGTCAGCTGGTTGAAATGCATTTGGAGTGCCACCCAGTTGAGGATGGTGCAGGTGAAGAATTTGGGGCAGATGGAGAAACTGGAGAGCATAATGAGACCCTGCCAGCTGTTTCTCCACGAAACCGAATGAGTAAGGTAAGTGTTATCTGGGCTGAGGTGTTTTCGGTTAGGTGGATTTAATAATTATTGCTCACACATCAGTCTGTATTTATACTATTTGTACGGAGATTAGTTGAGCTATGTAGACGTAATAAATATTGCTCATTCTGTAATCTGTGCTTTTAGTGGATGCAACAACTGAGGCTAATCCAGCAAACAGTTAAATCGTTACAGAGTTCGCAAATATCCAAAACAGATCAAACACGGCAGCACCTCAGCCTAATAAGACATTAGAATACGCTGTGACATCGCCGCGATAACGTCACAGTCACAGTACATACAATTTGATTGAATCTTGTGTTGCCATGCAACACAAGACACAGCCGTCCGATCCCTATTCGATTTGATGTGGGCTCCGTGCGGTACCTATGCAGCTCTATGTGTTCAGAGTGCAGTTCTTGTTCTGTCCAATTGTAGTGCACTCGTTTTCTGGAGTTGACAAACATTTTAAACACAAAAACCCTAAAGTTACAATGCAGCGAAAAACTGAAGGAACCTCGCCCGTTTGCTCATCAGGTCGTCGTTCTTTGGCATTCCTATCAACGGAAATATACGGGAGCTATTTCTCAGCTTTCATGTAATTTCTTAAACTTAATTTCGCTGTATTAGTTGCAAGGCTATAATACTCTCACAATCGCCGGTCGCACCATAACCGTAATTAATTTTTTGCGCCTACAACTCATTTTATGCAGAGTCTGCAGACCTCAACTGCAGCAGAGGAGACCTTTGTCTACGCGATGCACACTGATGGTCGTCTGGCGAAGGTACAGACAGAGGCTCATGGTCTGCATGTGTACAGCCTGCAGACTCAGCGCACTGCAGGCTACAGCGTGGCAGTGAGGGTGAGTGTCGAGGGTAGAAATTCAACTGAGGGCAGACACTGAGAGTGATCTCCACAGCAGGCTTTGGCAAGGCAGGAAATACCCGATTTTCCTGAATAATTTACCGTAGTATAAGGGCTTCTGAACATATTTTGCTTTGAAATTTAATTTTTATAAAGTGATCAGCATGCAGGGGCCAGAAAGGGCCAGAGGGGAATAGCATTCAGTGTCTAAGTTATATAACTACTAATACACATGAGGCTACATGAGTCATGTCAATAAGTTAATTAGTAAATTGAATTTGCCTCGCTGAATAATTGGAAGAACTGCAGGCAAAACAACCCTACCGGTGCTCACAACTGCTGGCTATTTCATGTCCTTTTATTTTATTACATGCCACTGAACATCACTGCATGCCACTACCTGGCACTGCACGACACTGCATGTCATTGCATGTCACTGTATGCAGTATGCCACTGCGTGGCACTGCACGACACTGCATGTCATTGTATGTCACTGTATGCCGTTGCTTGTCCCCACAGCTGGGCCTGCTGCTGGAGATCGCAGAGCGCGAGGCCCCACAGGCGTTCCTTGATTTGGCCACTGAGGATGGGCCCCTGGGGCGCATATACGTGAGTCTGCGGGGCGGCATGCGCAGGACGGCGCAGTTCCTGCATCTCTGCGTGGGCACCCTGGGCCCATCCTATAAGGGGACAAGGTGAGAGGAAAGGATGTGGAGCCATCCAACCGGAGGGTCAGGTAAGAGGAGTGTTGAGCCATCCTAACGGGGACCAGGTGAGGGGTTGGGGCCCTATCCTACAGTGGGCCAGGTGAGTGAAGAGGGTGTGGGCCTATTCTAAATGGGGACCAGGTGAAAGGATGATTCCATCCCACCGGGGGACATACCACCGTAAGACCAGATGAAGGGAGGGGATGTGGGCCATTCCACCAAGGGACCAGGGGAGGGGAGAAGGATGTAAGCTGGCCGTGAGAGGAGCTAGTCGCGGGTTCGAGCGTTGTGTAGCTCGTTTCATTTCTCCATGTCAGTATTGAGCGGCTAGCAAGATGCCCTTGCATGGTTTGGTGTCCCTAAACGAACTCTGGGTAAGTTGGAACTGGGATCTTTAGGTCTCAATGTACAATGTATACTTCGCATTAGGATCGAACTTAATGTTGAAACATCTCCCACGTTCGGAGTCTACGTTAATGTATCACACACTCCCGTATGCATTTTGTCTTCATACACTCGACACTTGAGTGATTTTAATACAAAGAACACACAGAGCATAACGTGTGTTGTTTGTATGCAGGGTGGACGGCGTGGGAGACGCTGGGGCACCCGGCGAGTACCTGCGCATGGGGGACTACACCCGCCAGGGGGGACAAGGGGGAGTGGGGCTCATTGATGGACTCGAGTGGGGAGAGGGGTGAGTTGAGTGGGGGCAAGGGGGAGTGGGGCTCATTGATGGGCTTAAGTGGGAGAAGGGTGAGTAGGGAGAAGGGTGAGCAGGGAGAAGGGTGAGTAGGGAGAAGGGTGAGTAGGGTGAAGGGTGAGTAGGGAGAAGGGTGAGTAGGGAGAAGGGTGAGTAGGGAGAAGGGTGAGTAGGGAGAAGGGTGAGTGGGGAGAAGGGTGAGTAGGGAGTAGGGTGAGTAGGGAAAAAGGTGAGTGGGGAGAATAGAAATATTTTTGATGAATGCATGAATTTTACATGATAAATTTTCCTTTTCGCAGTTTCATCGGCCCCAAGAAGCGGGGGGCGGTGATGGGGCTCGGGGGGGAGGCGGGGGAGAAGAGGTTCGGGGCGCTGTTCGGTGTGTGCCTGAGGGAGGACCTGACGCAGGTGTTCCGGTGCCCCTTTGGGGAGGTGGTCAGGGGCATGGACGTGCTCGAGAAGGTGGCCCAGGCCCAACCCATCACAGGGGTCTATGTTGCAGACTGCGGGGCCCTCATCCCCCTCCAGTGAGAGTCGACAACAGCAATGTAGGCCCACCAACATTGCGGCGTGTAGTTGGGCCCTCATCTTATTCGGATGTTCGGCTCGAGCAGTTAGAGTTAGACACTGGGCCATTTAGACGCTGGGCAAGTTAGACGCTGGGTCAAATAGACATCGTGTCAGTCAGACGCTGGGCCAGTTAGACGTTGGGCCAGTTCGATGCTGTGTTAGTTAGACGCTGGATCAGTTAGACGCTGGGTCAGTTAGTAGCTGAGCCAGTTAGACGATTAGTCAGTTAGACACTGGGCCGGTTAGTCTCTGGGTCAGTTTGATGCTGGGTCAGATAGACGCTTGGTGAGTTAGACGCTTGGCCAGTACGATGGTGAGAAAAGGATGTGTTGGATTATGTTTACATCAAGTATTATCTGATGCATAGGATAACGTCTGGATATGATCAAGACTTGGCTGATGTGTATACCACGATGGGCTGATATTCTTACTGGTGTATATCTATAAATCTTGTTTGGAGTTCATCTGGGTTATTTCCTTATGTATTTCTTGTCATCATTGATACATAGGGTGGTCTGAAGGCTATATGGGTGCGCAGCCGTTGGCAAATTAAACTCTTAAACAAGCCTTGTAGCAAACGTTCTTCACAAAAATTCTTAGCTAAACTCAGCCTCAGTGCTACGAAGTCGCAGACCACGCTAGAAACACCGCGAGCCTAATACCGCGACGGCTTGAAGCCACTGTTCCAGCAAATACAAATTAATTGGACTGCAATTTAAGATTAAAAATAATACAAAGACTTAGTAAGGCCAGTTTTATGAAAGTTTATTGGTATTTTCCACTATCTAGTCGGAGTTAGACGATCATAGCTCATATGTGTGGCAGCTCTCCCGCGACACCATACATCAGATGGGAGAATACGTTAGTTATAGATAAAATTTGCATTCGTCAGGAGCGATTATTTTGCAATGTTCAGTAGTTATGGATATGTTACTGAACTCTAATATGTATAGGGGAGAAAAATAATTTGTATTGAGTGAAGGTTTTTACCCTATACAGATCAGTTGACTGCAAGGAGTAAATAACGTTAAAGCTCTTGCAGTTATATGCCTTTGATAGGGGAGACAAGTAAATCCTTTCTTTTATAACGGGGCTAAGCGAGCGCCACTTCATACCGGACGCCTTCTAAAAGCAACTGCTGCGCCACCATGGAACGGCTGCGCCACCAACTGCTGCGCCACCATTGTATTCACCATGCTGCGCCACTGCAATACAATATTTCCTGGCATATATCTATAAACTACAGCTACTCCGCGCTATTACGTAATGAGGTTTGCGCACTACCTCACATGAATAACAATAGTTATGTAAATATACATTTTCAAGTATAATTACTCGATTTCACCTNCCTGAGGTTTTTGCGCGATGATGCCTTTGCTGTTAGCCAAACAGATCCATAGCTGACGAAGTAAACAAGGTTAAGTATACCGTAGTGTCGTCGTGAAGTGCGGTGTGTAGGACACTTCAGATTTTTGTAGTGCGCGTTATGCTTTTGGCCCTATTTAGCATACCAACCGTTGTGTTCCATGCCGCACTATGGCTTGTAGTGCGTAGTGCTACTTCATAGTGCTAGTGCCCTATTTAGCATGCCAACCGTAGTGTTCCATGTCGCACTAGTACCGCACTACGGCTTGTAGTGCGTAGTGCTACTTCGTAGTGCTAGTGCCCTATTTAGCATGCCAACCGTAGTGTTCCATGTCGCACTACGGCTTGTAGTGCGTAGTGCTACTTCGTAGTGCTAGTGCCCTATTTAGCATACGGGCCAATATCATGAGATGTATGGTGGGGGTTGGCCCTAAAGATGAGGCTACAACAATATTGCAATACTCGCGATATATTGCAATATTGTTGAGTCGATATTCCCATCGATCTTATTAACGGACTTGAACCTAATTCAAGCCTTTAGTACAGTTTTATCGTTGTTTTTTCTTCCCCTAGACGCTTTTCAGCGCCGAGGGCTCATAAATATTGTGGGAAAGATATTTCCACACATATATTCAGTCTTATTCTTATGGATCAAACAAGTAATCGGGAATCGTGCTTTTTCCGGGAGAGTAGCTTGTAGAGATAGAATGAAACAGGTAGCCGTGAAGGCTGGATGGTACGACTTGCCGCTCATATGTGAAAGCTCCTCGGTGCCTAAATTATTATCTTACAGAAGTGAAGCAATCGTTCGATAGCCCAATGTTCGTGAATTAAGAATCGGTTATAATGGAAATCTGTATACCCACATCGAACCCGTTTGAACTTAAAATGTCTGTATATATGTGTCGCCGTGTTTTTGAATAGTTATTTAATTGGAACGCTTACATCAAGTGCCCTTTTACGAATGATAGTGATAGAGTCGAAAGTTAGCAACGCAAGAACGATCACACAGGTCTTTATTTCGGCGCCCCGACTGATGCGGCAGTCGTCCGGCCCGACAATATTTAGACAAAAGTAATCGTATTATGGGTACTATAATGTGAGCTACGTTGCGTCCGAACATACAATATTACTACAAGCCAACAAGCGTTATTAACGATGTCGCTGCGATGCTGATTATAACCTGTATGCTATTTAGAGCACGAAATCAAGCTAAACAATCCTGTCGCACCGCAGTGAAAACCTTTGAAAAAACATTGCCAAAAATGCAAGTACGAACCTGAAAGCCATTGTTTTGTATGCCAGTTCGAAGTTGTAATGAAGTGTTGCTGCAAATTTCCCACTACTGTATGTCAGACTATGAAGTTTAAGTAGGACCGACTCTGACGTCGGTGTTCGGTTCAGTATAGCCGTCAGATACTATGCCGATCCCGACTTGCGTCCTGGTTCCTCTCTTATAGGATTTTGACTCAGACGCCAGGGTGAGTTGTGTGCTATAGTGGTGAAAGCTAGCTTGAAATACTTGATGGAATATAGTGATTTTTATGTATATATGGCTTGTCATGCGTAGATATTTACTTTCTGTTTTCTGTTGTAGGATCGTGCGTTATTCTCGGATCTCAATGCTCTAGCTCTCTCCTCGCATTTTGCTCTCATCGCACTTTAACTTCCTCCGCATTTAACTTGTTAGTTCGTTCATATGCCGCACCTCTGTAAATCAATAGTGTTATTTGTTTACATTTATTTGCCGTTTATATTTAATAAACTTAAAACGTTTGTTCGAGTAACTATCCGCTCAGTCCAAGCTCTTGCTGATAAAACCAATAGGGAAGTTGAATTTAATTTCCGGTCATTGGTGGACGTGACAATTAGACCATCCGAACTTTGAGGTGACGCGATCAATTAGCTATTATTCAAGATTAGTTTGTCACAGAAGTGTAGGGCAAAAAACTATATTTCTGATTAAAAAGTACTCCTATGCCCGATGTCACAAGGTTTACTTATCTAATTCGCCCCAAAGTAACCCAAGACGCTTCGCAGCGCTATATATTAAAAATTTAGAAAATTAAGAAGACTATAATGCAATCAGTAATCAAAGTTGTTCAATGCATAATTACTGAATACTTTGGCAACCGAGGAGCTCCTACAGGAAATTTTATCCCAGACTTAACTATTCTCACCCCTCTCCCCACCCGCAACAAACACTATATTACGCATATCAGTTCAGTACCATGACTACGAGAACATAATAAAAGGTAGTGAGTTTGTCAATGTATATAATGCTAACTTACTCTGGAATTAAAAAAATCATACTTCACGTATGTAGCCTCCTACATACTGCACGTATGTAGCCTCCTGCAAACTTCACGTATGTTGCCTCCTGCAAACTTCACGTATGTAGCTTTAAATTACCTTACATATATCTATTCTACCAAATTTTCTTATAGGATGCTCTTTACATCGTCACCGGCTGTTCATGTTGCACAAATTCTTTCGCTGATGTACCGTCTATCCCAGCATTTTCTTTGCCTCGCTGCGAAGACATTGTCTTAAAACCTAATTTTTACACACCAACAAATTTTGTAATAATTTATAGATGATGTGGTTGGTGTCTGGCTGGTCCTATCGAACAGCCATACTGTAGCGATAACTACGCTATTTTTACTGAGCTGGAGTTAAGTACCAGGCTAACTATGTATCATGGTTATGCCGACAAAATGAGTTATTCTAAACCATAATTCTTGCTAGGTACGGCGTGGAGAAACTCAGTAAATTTTCTTCCATTACCGTTTTACAATGTTGAAGCAAGCGGTTCCGCTGACCGACGGCCATACCATCAAAATTCGTTCATTTACAAGTAGCCGCTATGTACACGTAGCGACCGATATTTTTATTGCCTCGAATTTAGCTTGAAAAGCTGTCAGTGATAGGCTGTCAGTGTGGACTTTCAAGCAAAGCTGACCGACGTTAAACGAGGTGTTGATGTTCGAGCATCTCTCACACCACGAACAAGCAATTGATTTTAGCTGGTATAAGTATAAATAGTTGCGAGTATTCTTTCTTAATACACACATAATTAGTGAATTCAGTAAGTGCGCCGTTTGAATTCAATGATTTCGTTATTTTGGCAAATCTGGCTTGACCTTTTATTCCTGACTTGTACCTCAACTAATTTGCTAATTTTAGTCATTTAAATCTTTATAGTCATGCTGCATGCTGGTCATCCAAAGTTTGCTCCTTGAAAATCGCTTGTTTGAGGAATGTGGGAAATATATAAAACAATACACCGTGCAAACAATAAAATGCATCATATTTGATTAAAAATCTGAAACTAGATTTTTAGTTAAAAATTTGCCTTGCACATTAGGATAGAGCCAGTTTCCAATCTAGATGGTGATCTTGAATTTATGAAGCTGCATAGTGTCAAACAACAAAGTTTCTAAGATCAGTTCATTTTTAATTACCTCATCTACTCAAGTTGAAAATATTTACATAGTTGAAAATATTTCATTGACAAGAAGATGAATGAAAATGCAATGTTTATCCTCAAACGTACTTTCTTTCTGATACATTCCAAAATCAGCAAGAAAATTTGGGCTAGGGGGACTTCAACATTATTACTTCATTCATACTACATTACAAAAAGCGTTCTCAAATGGGATTTGACTATTATTTGCTATTGTATTATCAATATACTTATTTTCTTATGATAATATATGTAACCGCTGACTGGCAGCTTAGATAGGCTGGTTACGTACCATTATAGCAATTGTCTTCACGTTTAAACTGACCAGGAGTGTAATTCACACTAGTAATCAAACTTTGTAGATGGAGCAAATTTCAATAAAAGGAAAAAAAAACATTAACAGGATGCCGGAAGCAAAACTATATACGGTGTCTGATTGAAGTGGTTCAAATTATTTTGCATAGGTCTGAAAATGAACGGAACATCATTACGAGAAATTTAACAGTATAACTACATCAAAGAACTAGCCTGAAGTCCAGCGTCTCACGCCAACCACAACAGCCGGCGTCACGACTAAGAATAAGACATTCAGGTGTCGCAATAAACGACCTCAGTTTCGGATCGATTCAAAATTTATTATTACTCCGCTGAGTCTAAATAAGAATAAATCTCGTGGGCGCCTCAAGCTCACCAAATTTATTCATCCATGAGTAGAAATCAAGGTGCCCTTGGTTTAGGCCAATGAATCGCGACCCTCATGAATGAGTTACATTCAAGGAGGAAATTAATTTATTCGGAGCTCTCACCAGAAAACTTCCGGGACCAGGAGAGTGTGGGCACTGTTATTACGATCGATCCTTGATAATTATTAACATTTTTTAATTACGTCTATTTTGAGGAGTGCCCCACTATAGTACAGAGGCGGAAACATACTTCCCTCATGATTCGCATCTGACATGTCATACAATATATTGTTCTGCCATTAGATAACATATAGAATGCACTAAAGCTACCTCCGTTCAATAACAACTGCTGAATGTGGTTCAAGAATGGTTTATGCGCGATTAGTTTGTAGAAGAAAAAAATCATTGAATATTGAAGCACTGAGATGCATTCCCATAAGGAATATCATTCACCAAGTTATC